CTGTTATGTTTCCTACTAATTATATAAACAATAGATTTCAATCATGTGAAGCAATCTGAATAAAAATAGATATTTAACTTACAAGCAACCAATTTAGCATGCTTTAATGTTGTATTAAAAATCGGCTACTTTGGCCAGATTACGACTACAAACCATATTAAATCGCTTTAATTTAAAACATGTTAAAACGTGGTGATTTTTATATCCTCCAGCAAAAAATGGAGACAATGGCATTGTAAACAGACTGCTAATAGGTAGTTCATACTCTTAAAAATTTAAATACCAAATTACAGACAGTAAAGATGGAAAACTAGGTTAAGAACTTTAACACTACAAAAAAATAAGCGGGATCTCCGAATGTATTTACAAACATTGGTCTATTGGTCAGAAAATCCTTAATTAATTGAAGATCGGCATTACATCCAGAAAAAGTCACAGTTTGGTGCGCTCTTTGGTCCGATGATGTGATTGGACATTACTTCGTCGAAAACGACAATCGAACGGATGTCACCTTCAATTCGGAGTATATAATAATCGATTTTTTGTTGCTGTTGAAGAGTACTGTTTGTAGAATGTGTGGTTTCAATGCAGCGTAATTCCTCATCGTGACGATATTAACTGGTTTCCAAGATCATTCGATTTGACACCATTTTGGTGTCTAAAATCTATACTTCGAATCGAAACATTAGCCATAATGCTGAGGGTAAAAAATCTATTTAGCAAGCATCAATCGGAAATATAGATTGTGACAGGACATCCAAAAAATTGGTTATCTGTGGAGAGGAGTGAGTGATGGACACAAATGATCAAATAGGATATTATATTTACTTCATACGCAATTTAAAAAAATGTTCAACCATGACAAGATGTTGTCAAATTTGTAAATGCTTTTGGGGTCTATCACGGAGAAAAACTTTAGCGTGTCTATCACATATCTAACGAAAAAAATTGATGTCTTCGGTTGCAAAGCATAGATCACAATGAATGACATAAAAAGGCATAAAAACAAAACTCAAAAAATTGATGTCTTGTTAGGTCGTAGATGTTAGGTCGTTTTCGTCTCCAATTCAACCTCGCATAGTCTGTAGTGTTCCACCTCCTTAATACCCCACTTAAAAAAAGAACTGATTCTGGAATGACCAGTAACGATACACAAAGTTATCTTTCCATCTTGTTTTCGTTTTCTCGCTATAAATCTTGCTGATCATAGCAAAGTGGTAGCTAAGAGGAGGTCCGACAGTATTATTATCCACTTCCCTTTATACCGACACGACCTGGAACTTAATAAAGTCTAACAAAATATCGTATATCCCGCAGAGCTGATTTACAATTATGAACGATCTAGAGTTTGTAGTCGATTATTTGACTACTTTAACAACCGCCTGACAAATATAGTCACCAGTCCCGTGTCACTAATGCACACCGCTTTCAAGATCTCTGATTAAAATAAAATCTCTGATTAAAAAACATGACATTTGTCGCTTATTTTTTAAGAGTTCTTGATTGAAAGTTCTTTACAGAAAACCCCCGCACATGCGCCTTCTCCTATTTTTGAAATATCTGTATATTTTGACAGGACATTCTGTTTGGTATGACAATTTTATATTTCTTAAAGTCGAGTCGAGGGACATATAATTACTTAAGTTTTGACTATGACAAAGTCCGTAATTTCCTGTCAAGTTTAGGATATCACATTTCCATAGAGGGAATATCGACACCTGCCTATCTACTTTAACCTAAAGGCATTTCTGGTTGCTTGAAAACTAATCAACAAATCAAGCTGTTAAAGATTTATGATTCCATTCAGAGCAACGTTAGAAGTACTTCTAGGAGCATCGGATATAAGGATTGCTGACCGTCTTTACACACTATTTAGTTTGAACAAAAGGGTTCTCAAGACATCAATATGTGGGAAGTGCTACGACAGGTTTTCTCTCGGGCTGGAGTAAGATTGGGGGCCAACGCTTTGCAAAAGAAAAACTTGTTTATATGCGAGAGTGAGAGACTGATGTTTATATTCTAAAAAATGTTTTTTAGATCCAAGTTTTGAACACTAAGCTAACTTAAGCTATGATTTATTACTAGGGGGTCTCCGTTTGTCCGATATTTATTGTCAGCTTAGCCGCCTTTCAATGTCGAGCCGTCCTTGGCGAGGAAGGAATATGGTACAAGAAACCTGGATAAGTTCTCTATGCGAGGAATGTGAATTTAGAGACCCTGATAAGTACACTCACAATCGCTGGAAGTCGGATGCCTCAACTAGGTTTTGAATAAGTGGAACTATTCCAAAGGGGGTGAAATATACTCAGGATTCAACGGCAAGAGACATTAGTAAGTATTCAATCAAGGTCCCGAACGGATTTTACGGCAAGATAGCTTATTAAGCTCAAGCATGGAAGGATTCTACTAAAGAGTTGTAATACTTTTGGGAACAGACGCCTGGATAAGTACACTATGATGGCTATAGAAATTTGTTAAATATGTTTCGATGTGTTTGATTCATTGTTCTAGCACAGAATTCGCTTTTCACACGTTTTTCTTCACGGAATAACTGGAATGTGTTTTGATACACTTGTCACAAGAGAATAACTGAGTGTAACGATTTTTAGTCGTCACATTTTCCCTTCAAGCTAACCAAGTCACTAATTATTTATACTGATTGCCTGTCTATGTAGTTATATGGCAGCCTTGAGGTACGTTTAGAGTTCCCTGACCGTGTCTTGAAACATGGCCCATTCGGCAAGACCACCACAGGAACAATCAACAACAATCCTTCTATAACTTGTGCAGCTTCCAAATTAGCCGAAGGTCTTGAGGTTTCTGGTTTTGGGACCCCTTCCCATAGTTATTGCAGATAGGAGACGTTTCTCCCTGGGCTACCGACAATATATAGAAAGCTAGGCGAATTATCCTGGATGCCGTGCCCGGAGGTTATACAGGGGGCCCAATGTATTTAGCAGGGACCGGACTTAAAATTAATCAACTCCAATCATCGCCTGCGCCAACTGCGGCGATACCACAGGGGACGGAGTGTTTGGTATCTGGTGAAGCGACTTCCTCGGTGATTCCTGGGCATTCTAGAATTGCCAGTGGTCTCGGGAAGGGTTGAGCTTTTCGGTCCCCCATTACCTGGAGGAGGCCCCGGTCGTCAACAGGTTTAGGCGAATCTGACACTGTTTGGTGATTGGCCCATCAATAACTTTCTTCAATGTTGCTTTGGTTCTCATTTCTATGGTTATGGTATAATCTGTAAATGGGAAAACGTTAATAAGCTACAAATAGTTTGAGATCACTTAAGGGGACCCCCCATTTCGGTGTCATTTCAATTTCAAGAGAAAATCTCAAGGACTCTTGAAGATATAGCCGATTTATTGTGTCAGCATCAAGTGACGGCTGAAGGGCTTCTTAAAACTTTAAACGTGTTTTTCTCCAAACATTGGTTTTGCGAATGGCGGGCACGATAATTCAAAAACTAATCACCCAATCGATTCCAAATTTCATATATTTTGGAAAATCTCCGATTTTTTTCAAAGGTCCGCCATTTTGTTAATTTTTCGAGCGAAGTCGATAATCCTAACACCGTTGGAATTTTCCGATTCCGATGTTTCAGTGAGGAGTTATCATGCCCGCCATCAAAAATAATGACTTTTCTTTAATTACAAAAAACAACAACAAAACAAACATTTTTTGTAAATTAAAATCTTGTATATATGTGCAAAGTTACAAACCTTATTATTTTTCTTAAAAATCTTTTAAAAAACGAAAATCTTCAAATTCCATAGCTTCGAATGACCCATGGCATTTTGAAACCAACTTAGCAGCGAACTGTTCTATTGATTTCAAGTGCATGTGCTGCATTACCAATACATTTCCCTATTACAGGTTTCCAAGGCCGCTGACGGAGATTATAGTGTCGACGCTGTACCTTAGCCTCCAGACTGAGTTGGTTCCGGGCTATTTTAAAAACTTCTTGCAAGTCGCTTACTCTCTCTCTCTCTCGTCAGGAATTTTAAGGGTTTGTCCAGTTCCGGCTACAGACAAGTCGTATAGTGTTTTTGATAGTCTTGATTCGAGACATTGTGTTAAATAGGCCGGACTAATCGTGTCGACTTCGATCGGATTTTCCTGTGGGCAATATGGTTGTGGCGTTCCTCGATTTCATCTAAGGATTTCCTGAAAATGCGGCTAAGATTACTTCCATTGTCGGTTGTGAGGATCTTTTGGGTTCCATAGCGAGCAGATTCTTTCGTGGAACCCCTTCTCTACACATTCTGCAGTCAGTTTCCCTTCGAGAAACTATCGAAGGAAATCACGAACATCGTGTTTCCGTGCAAACGGTGACCCAGTGCTTCTCTGGAACCAACATTGTCCGCCGGCGTAACTTGGTACGGTTTATAGCGTTGACAGAAATTAAAGCTCCGAACGAATCTATTTATGTCCCATGTCATGCCCGACCAGTAGTATCAGGTGCATATACGGTTAATTGTTTTGCGTATTCCCATTTGACCTGTCGTTGCTTGTTGTTGCTTTTTACTTTGGGAACGAATGTTTCCAAGGGACAAATCTTCATCGGGTGATTTTCCTGCAATATATCTGAACATCCGAATCTACTTTATGATGCTAATTTTATTATTGGTAATAGCGCTTATTTGATCTGATGCTCGAAAGTGCTTATTCCGCACCATAATTCGTCTTATCTTGTTCGCTTTTCGAATTAATAAAAGAGAACATATTCAATTTGTATTTATTTTGTTCTTTATTTATTCTTAAATGTTTAAACTTAAAACTAAATTTGTTTACAAAGAGTCTTCTTAAAAAACTAACCTAAAAACTAATTTAACAACATTTGATTACTGTTTAACAATTAAAATTCTTTGAAAGGTAGAATTTACGAGAATAGGGCAAGGGGGAGGGCGCGCAGAGATGCTCAGCATTTCCACACCACACAAAAGACGACGAATCACATTCCAATCTCAAGCCAAAAAAAAAAACAGTCGACCTTAAAATGCCAAAATAGCTGAAATGCTGAAATTATTTCTTTTCTGGGAGTTGGAATTTGATTGATTGGCAGGAGGTGTGGGAGATGTTGTTGGCGATGAAGTATTTGATGAAGTTTCGGTGTTATCCGTTGAGGGAGAAGATGTTGCTGGTGAAGAAATAGTTGTCTGCTGTGTTGGTGGGGAATCTCTCAGCAGGGTCTGCAGAGGATGTTGCATCAATGATGCCGTTGCCATTAAATGCTGTTGGGGATGATAAAACGATGAGGTGGGTGAGGTAGAGTAGGCGGATAACTGATGACCATAATGTTGTTGTTGTTGGTGGTGGTGTAAGTGATGTTGCTGTGTTGCATATTCCTCAAAACGTGGTGAAATCGATCGAGAGGAACGTGATGAACTGTAGCCTGACTCTTCGTCGGAATTTTCCGAAGGTCTTAAACGTTTTTGCTGGGGCGATTCATAACTGCCAACACTGGAACGATCATCTTCGGTCTTAGATTGGCAATCATCACTCTCTTCACCTTGTGTGGAATTGGAGGATGAGGGCGATGTTGACGAGGAGGACGACATTAGCTTCCTTTTACATTTTGACTGACCAGTTTCACGAAAACCTTTGGCAAAGGGATTGTTGTCAATTTTTAGTTTGGTAATGCGATCATTCTAAAAATAAAGAGAAGAAGAGAAAATAATTCATTAATAATGTTATTCAAATAGAGGAGGAGAGAGAGGAGTCTTCTTTGAGTGTCTCTTGTTATTGGTCGGGTTCCGGGGAGTGTCAAAAACACTTGAAATTGTCAAAATTGCCGCCAGTAATTAGCTGAGATGTTCGACTGATGTCGTCACTACTACTGTCAGCGTCATTAAGTGCATGGTGACGCGTCACATTAAGTGATCACTTGAATTGTGTCTGAGTGTATGTGTCATTTTAATATCCTGTTGCGTGTGACCTTGCTAGGCGTGACATTTTTATTTAAATAATTGTCCTCAAACATGAGGATAATGAAAAGTGTCCTGAAATGGAACATTGAGTGTCACTTTACACAGTGGAGTGGAGTCCTGTGGTGTCATTGTTGGTTAGGGAGTTTTGTCTAGACAGTTTAAGTATGTTTTTTATTTTAAATATTGCTACTATTACTACTAACCTGATAGGCAGTCACGGCAATGAATTCGGTTTCGGGGAAAACGAAATTTTGCTGGGGAGACCATGGAAGCTGAGTTAAATCCGAGGTCTTGATGATGTGTAAACGTGGTTGATATTTATGCATGCTGGCCAAAACAATCTATAAGAAAGCAGAAAAAAGAATGATGAAATTAGTAATCTATTCCAATAATTGGGGGTTTGTTGAGGAAACCTACCTGACCACTGTTGTCGAGGGTATTATTGGTTAGTTTAACCTTGTTGAAGAGTATGGCCTGGGATTGCCAATGTGAACCATTGGCGGGACTGTCGGGATGCAAAAACATTCTTTGAGGCGATTGGGGTTCGGCACCGCCAGCTGGAACCCATTGTGAGCCGGAAAATTTGTAGCGACAATCGCCAATGGGTACCATTTCCAAAAGCACACAATATTGGGTATCTTCTTCGAGGCCCGTTACCGATACACGCATTGAGGGGAACATACGTCTGCAAAGCAAAAGAGAGGGAGAGAAATAAAATTAATAAAAGAAAATATTATCACCATCACATCTGCTTCTTCTTTTTTATTATTTTTTTCTGAATCATGTTCTACAAACAAAAAACTGGGTGTTAACCGGCTATTGATTTGTGGCTTTGCATTTGAGTAGAGTTCAAAAAAAAACAAACAAACAAAATCTCTATGTCTCACACACAAACAAGTGAAATGACTTGGCAGCATATAATTATCATCATGAGAATGATGATCATCAAGATCATCATCAAGGTAGGGTGTTTTATTATAACAGCAGGAGTTATTGAAAAAAAGAGTACTGGCGCCTTTTGACAGATTTGTGTATTCTCTCAGCCAGCCAGATCAGACAGACAATCGAACAAATTTCAATCCCAAGGCCCAGAAGGCTAAACAAGTTAACAACATTTGAAATGTGGGTAGTTACTGTGGGGAATTTGGCTTGTGGTTTTTTTGGAAGGAGTTAAAACGATACCAAATCTTGTTAAGAAAATGATTAATTATTGTTTAGACGGGAATACTAAGAAGTAACAAACACACTATTGAGAGGTAAAATAAAAATAATTGTAAATTGGGGCATACTTTTAGGGGCTGAGACATGTGGCAAAGAAAATTTTGGGAATTTTTATAAAAAATAAAATAATACATTTTTCTATGAAAGAAAATTAAGACAATTAACAACATATATTTTGAAAATTTTTAATTTGTTTTCAGCTGAGTAAAAAATTTTTTATGGTTTCAAAAAAAAAAAAAAAAAAAAAAAAATATTTGAAAACTTCTTTATCGATCTGCTAAAAATACAAATGTTTATTAAAAAAATATTGTCTGATTCCAAAAATATTTCCCTTTGAACAATTATTTTTTAACCTTCCCTTCTTAATTATACAAATTCTAAACATATTTATATATATTTTATAGAATTGATTTTCTATCTCCCTTAATTATTTTTAAACTACCTTTAAGAATTTCAAATTAAAAATTATTATCCCTAAAATATTTATTTTTCCTTTTCATAAGAATTCAATTAGTTGTGAGAACCTTCGAACCCGCTGCTGTCGATTTTTGGCTAATTTCATTTTTATGTATTTTTAATGACTAACTAATGAAGTGTACTAACACACACACACATACTCATTTGAAAAAAAAAAATCAAACACAATTTCACCCAAAACGAACTTTTAGTAGGAAAAAGGTAGGTCACTTCCAACAAGACTACCCTACCCAACCCAAAGCAGCCCAACCGAATGCGATACCCAATTTTTGTCAGTAAGAAAAACTAAATGAAAAATCTACATAATTATGTTAATTTCTGTGTTATGTTAAACACACACAGAAACAACATAAATAATGTCGCCTGTCGTAATTTAGTGGATTTTGGGCAGCTACCTGCTTTATGGAATCGAAAATTCTTCTTTCTGTCGATCACAAAACAAAAAAACAATGGACCTAATGAATTATTAAAAGAAGCCGACGACAACGTCACAATCTTTCGGGTTGCCTTTATACAAGAAAAACATATCTAGTGATATCACACAACAGCAACAACAACTCCAACAAAAATGTGTGAAATCTCAGGTAGTTGATCACCTGGCGGCAGCATCAGTCTTAGCCTTTGCACTGACCCTTTCTTTTATATTTCTCTTCATATTTGTCAATAAAAATAATAACCATAGCCATGTCTGTCTGTCAATCTGTCCGTCCAGAAAAAAATGCTCTCCTCTAAACAAAAAATCTGTATTATTGTCAACAATAACCCGCTTGCCGCTATCCTCCTCGTTCCTATTCACATTCCGCTTATGGACAAGTGTTTTTGGTTAGATTTTTGTTGTTGTAATTTTTTCTGTCTTTGTGAAAAATTGGAAAATGATGAAGGGCCCATAAAAGAGACCTAATGCTGGTTTTATGACCCTACTGGCGCCAGCAAGTAGGTTGCTTTTAATGTTTTGTTTCTGCCACAACAAAGTCGTACCGAAAAAAGTCGTATTCAACAAAAAAAATAATAAAATCTTATTCGTTACGATATTAAAAGCGTAACTAATGATAATTATTGGGAATTATTTTTATTTTTTCAATAAAAGAAAAATATTTCAAAAATGAATGAAAATTTGTTTTAAGCCTAATTTCGATTAATTTCTTTTTAAAAATATATTTCAATGTTAAAAACTGAAAATAGCTGAGACGGATTTTTAAAAAGAATGAAAATTCTGCTTCAGAAATATGAAAACAATTTGAGGAAATTTTTAAAATACATAAAATGTTTAATTTACATTTTTGTTTTAAAAAAAATATTTCGATAAAATTGTTATCGTTTGATAAAAATTGGAAAAATTATCGATTTTTTGGTAAAATTAAAAAATGATTTCAATAAATTTGTTATCGTTTAAAATTTTAGAAAATTTCTGAAATTATTTTTATTTTGAAAATCTAACCTGTTTGAAAATCTTTTCAATGGCGCCATTTCTTAAATATTTGTTCAGACTAAACGATATGTTTTCCAATATTTATCGAACGGATTGTTTGTTATCGTAAGTAGTATATTTATTTAGGATTTTATTTGTATGCATTGTAAACTCTGGTAGTTTAAATGACCGCTTCAAATTTTCAAAATTGTTTTTGCTTTTTTTGTGATTATTTAAATAGGATTGCAGTTTAATTCATAGGCGCCACCTTAATGTTTGTTTGTTTTGTTTGAAGAATACTACTTGGAAAAGTGTTTGTTTAGGATTTGAAAAATCAATAAATCTTAAATTCAAAAAAGAATGAATTATGTATATCAACTTACCTTCCACTTTTGGTTATAATCATTTCGGTGCCAATTTTATGAAATTGTTGCCATAAATCATTATTTTCCAATTTGGCCTCAACATTGCCGGGCAGCTTGGGACGAGGTGGTGCGGCCATTAAATGATGTGGCATGGGTACATGCATTGGCAGCATGGGTGGAAAGGGATCTGTCAGAAAGAAGACAAAGAGTAAGGGATTAGAAATGATCAAAATCGGAATTAAGAATATTTTTAAATTTTATAGATTTTGTTCAATTTTTTCTTTGACATTAAAAAATTATATTGATTTCGTTAGAAAATGTTTTAATATTTTGGACATTTATACATTTTTCTGTTTATTTTCTTAATGTAAAATATGAACGTATTAATATTCTTAAATTATTCTCGTCCTTATTATAAAATATTTGGGAATTCCCAAAAATCTTATAATAAGGCGAATGTAATCGAAAATCTCAATGGCGTGAATATGGAATTCCCCCTTTGTTGGGTGATGTATTAATGAAACATTTTCGACTGAAATAGGTAGTAAGAAATAACATAATATTTCAATAAAAAAAACAAAAATTTTGTCATATATAGAATCTGGCTACGAAAAATATTTGCATTATTCAATTTCTTAATTAGAATATTTTGAATATATATTTTTATTAAAAGTTGTCATTGTGAATTTTATAATTATTTGTATTTATACATTTTTTTAATTTAATAAATATAAACAATTATTCAAATTAATTTATACATTTTTTTCTCTAACATTGACTTATTTTTCAAACAGTTCTTTTAATTAAAAAAATAGTTTTTAAATTATTATATTTTTATTTTTAACTTTTGCCGTCGGAATTTTTGTACTCAATATCTGTTTTTATTCTTCAAACTTACCTGGTATGCGTTGCATGATCTGTTGTCGATAAATCTCTTGGGCAAGTTGTTGTTGCATGCGATATTCCATTAAATCGTGTACGTTAAACATTTTCTATTGTATTTTTTGTTAATATTTCTTTTGATTATAAATTTCAATTTTTCTTCATATATAAAAACGCTTTTCAATTATTCTTTTTTTTTTCTAGATATTTCAGTTAATATAATTTGTTTCTGTATGATAACTTGTTTTATTTTCTACACGGCACATACAAGTCACTTTAATTCTTCTCATAAACACAAACGACGATCTGAACGGCTAAACGTCTCTTAACAAACTGATCTTCTATGAAGATGAGTTAGTTCTTAACACTGTTCAAACAAAATCCAGTTTAACAAGATCTCTCTTTGCATGGTGAAGAGGACAAACAACAACGACGCAAAACAACAAGGCTCTCCTACACAAACAAAGTCCCCTTGTATGTTGCATCTCTTTTTCTCACACACACAGGCAATATGGCAACAAACAACTACCTGCTCAGAGCATGCCATCTTTGGTGTCTTCTGATTGGTTTAACAAACAACCCCCGTTAAGACGAATAAAGCCGAGAGATTACAGTGGGAGAGAGTGAGACAGCCAATTGCCGTTACAAAAGGGAGTGAGTTCTCATTGTGTTGTTTGTTTTTACAGCAGAAGCCCCCTGTTAATGAATGTCTGCCGTTTTGGGAAACTCCATTTTTCTCGCCATTCACTTCATTGCAAAGTGTAATTGTTAACGCTTGAGTTTAATGAATTTTCTCACTCTCATCAGATGGCCGTGAGTAGTGTGTGTATGTATATCACACCATGATATTTTTCGAATTGTTCTCTCGACTGAAGGAACACACACAAGAAAAAAAGAATGCCACAATGTGTGTAGTCTACCAAAAGAGTCTTATGATATGTAGACTATATTTGGAATCTGGTAGACTTCTAAATAACTCCTCCCCTCACTGAGTGTTCTATTATTGTTGTTTTTGCTACACGCCTAAGCTTTTGTTAATAATTAAAAAGTGCGATTTTCTTCAACAATTCAAACAACAGCAAAGATCAGACATCACAAAATGTTTGTTGAACACAGAGTTTGAGCGTCAAAAGTAATTAGGATTTGTTTTATTTTTGTATTTTTTATTTGTGAAGCCGGGCAAACATCTGCAAACAGGCAGAGCGCATGCGGGGCGTTCTAGGCTAGTCTCTAATCAAACACAATTCTTGTTGTTGTGTTGTGTTACATTGTAGATTTTTTATGAGGTTTGGTAATCATGTTTGTTGTTTCCTTTTTTGGTTACTTATCGGCGGATGCAGTCGTACATACAAATACACACACACTCACACAGCTAATTACATGGTTATATGGTTGTATTCATATATCAAAGAGTACATATTTGAATTATTTCTAGCATCTGCTTTAGGCTATTGCTAGTTCATCGTTTCTTTTTCTGTTTTTGAAGATTACATGGCCCCTTTTGTGTTTCTATTGGATTTATCTTGGCGGCTGCATTATGTACATACAAGTATGTATGGTTTTTTGAGTGTCGTTATCAACTGCCTCTTCCACAGAGTAAAATAAACATTCGGCAATCATCATTCGATTCGTTTTGAATTTTATGCACGCAGGTGTAACATAAATTGTTGTCGATCGTGTTCATTCATTACCATTAAAAATGACATGGTTTTGTTGCTTTATTGGTGCTTGGTTGAGCGTTGCTCCTGCTAACGTAGCGGCTTAGGGTTCCGATGAAATGTAATGCATCTGCGTGCGGCTTACCATGTGATTCTATCATTTGATAATCATTTGTTTTGTAGTTGGTTGGCTGGCTGGTTCGATGCTTGTTGCCGTTTCATATTGTACCTATGTTGGCAATGTGAGAAAAACATGACACCAGACATCGGGTGTGGTCTCTTTAAGAGTTGAATAGAAAAAAAAATAAACTGTAAATATAATGAGTGCTAAAGTACAAATAATAAGGCGTAATTTCATGAGACATTTATTTGAAAACGTTGTAAAGTTACGAATTTAAAGAGAACAAATATCGTATGAAATTGTATTTTATGACTCTACAAAGTGAATTTTTGGGAAATGGAAATAAAATCAGGAATCACATAATTCAGCTACAGATGGTTTTGTATTTAATTAATAAAAAATAGATTTTTCTAAATAATGAAATAGGATAAAATAATCTCATTTTTATATATTGGCTTCTAGATATTACGGCAGAAACAAGTTTATTTTATGCTCAATAATTGTAAGTCTGAAAAATACATATATTGGGCAACATCATATGTGTGGACATGTATAGAATATCTTTATTATTAGCTACACGATAATTTGTAACGCCACGAAATATTAAGTATACCGATAGGTATATGTTCAGTTCGTATTATACTCATTTTAGTGTATATTTTAATAAAAGCATTATTTTCAAATTTGCTCTCAACATTGCCGGGCAATTTGGTGGTGCGGAAATTAAATGATTACCCATTGGTACGTGGATTTGCAGCATGCGTGGCAGGAAAAATACAAAATTATGAGAAAATTAGCATATTATGGTGCACAAATTCAACTCACAAAAACACATGTACGGGAAAAGTTGACAGTGTTTGATACTGATACCAATTCAATCACTTTAGCTTATATCCATCATATTAATGTAAGAGGGCGGAGATGGGAGATATACTAATACGGTTATCATAAGAGAGTCAAAATATCGCGAAATTTAGTGGTAGTTGTGTAGAGTATTTTTTGTCGATTCTATGCTTACCTTACTTAAGGTGGAAATGTCATATATATATGTTTCATGCCGTCGGAAGTTATTTGCCAATAATGGATTTTCCACTTATTGGGTGAATGGATATTACAAAAATTTTTTGTATACAAATAAGACCATAAAGTGGAGTGGAATTTAGCACTCCGTTTGAAAACCTTAAAATATTTAACGGAGACCCCATAAACTATATATGGGCAATATTGTGTTCTATAAATAGAAATAAATCTTAAAAGAAAACTATATTATTAAATATACATTTAAAATTGCGTCTAAATCGCGTAATACCTAAAATCATTAGATGCGCATGCGTTTTCCAGGAAGTGCTAAAGTTTATCTTCCCATCCATGTATATTTTGTGAAATTTCATTTGACGGCTAAGACGTACTACATGTTGCATTGAAGTGCCCAACAACTCGTAAAACGCGAATAATTTCCGAAAAGTCTATATGGCTTCAACGCGCATCCGATTGCGGTGTGCACCTTAAAAAGAAATACATCGATCTATACTTATTACAATGCGTTCCATTAAGAGCCATGGTCCATGGATGGCTCAGGGCACACTATTTTTGAGGTAAATTGCGTACATCTCTCTTTCGGGTGAAGTTTTTCAAGTTATGTTTTCCCAAAAGAATATTCTTAGCTAATAATAATTTTAAAAAATCCAAATACGTGCACTTTATGTTAAAAAGATTTGGAAAAATGGGCCGCGGAAAACATTGACCAAAAGAAAAACGAGAACTCACTCAAAATTTATTTCTGAAGGAAAAACTTACAAATTTATACAAGATGTAGTTGGCTGTTCTGCGAAAATGAAACGCGTGGGCGATGAAAAAAGAATCTTAAGAAGAGTTCGAGATGAGCCCATATCATCTGTTACGGAATTAAAACAAAAATGTAACCTTGAGTTCATGCATGGGGGGGTCAAAATTGTTTTTGATTTAATTCGAATCTACACTAATTCAAAAATGTCCCAACAAAATTTCAAGTGAACATCTTAAGAACTCTTGAAAATATAGCCGATTTATTGTGTCAGCATCAAGTGACGGCTAAAGGGTTTCTCAAACTTTAAACGCGTTTTTCTCTTTTGCGAATGGCGGGCACGATAACTCAAAAACTAATAACCCAATTGATTTCAAATTTTGGGACGTTTCTCTGTGAGCGTATAGCTATCGTATGAACTAGGATAGAGCCAATTGGTGATTTTCCAAAAATATTTTTTCAAAGGTCCGCTATTTTGTTAATTTTAGAGCGAAGTCAATAATCCTAGTTCATACGAGAGCCAGACATGTACTCTTTCTAACACAGTTGGAATTTTCGGATTCCGATGTTCCAGTGAGGAGTTATCATGCCCGCCATCAAAAATATGGACTTTTCTTTAATTACAAAAAACAACAACAAAACAATAACAAAATTTTTTTGGTAATTTTTTTTTTCTTCTCTTTTAAATCTTCAAATATATATGTGCCAAGTTACAAACCTTAACAAGCATTGGTATTGATTTACCAGCCCATTGAAAATCTTGAAAAATTTAAATCGAGAATGGGTGGGGTTCCCTTAAAGAGAGCAAAGAACTAATAAATAAGTGAAAAAAGAATTTAAAATTCTTTTGTTTGTAAATCAAGAACACCAAAATTGTATGTTCAATATAATAACTGCTATTATAATGCACGCTACTGTAGCAAAGATATTGCTCAATCTGTTGCGGTAGCTGGTACGTAAGCAGTAAATCCTTTTTGTTTTAAGGTCGACCTCTTTTTTTACTAAATTCCAGGCGTGGATCAATCCGGAATCTACGATACTTCACATAGTTTTTATTAAGAGTGAGATATGGACAATTTTCTTTCCTCAGAGAGTAAGTGACTTTCGTAGACTTTTGTGTTCCATTGATTTAATTGATTAAGTTGCATTTGAACTTTATTTGTAGTTTCCACTGGATTAAAGCAAGTGGCCAAGTAGCTGTATCATCAGAAAATGTGACATCAGGATTAGCTGGCTTGTCGGATGCAGGTCCCATTACACTCTCATTATTTACAGACACAAAAAGGTGTTTTTAACAACGATTTATTTCTAATTTTTTATTTCTCATTTTGTACAATATTATTTCCAGTAAGATCCAATTGAACCGTGTGCTTCAATGTCGTAAGCGCATTTCCGAAATTAATACAATTTAAATTTTGTTTGCATTTTAATCGCTGTCGCAATTTTTATGTCTAATTAAAACCCACACATTTCGTCTGACACAGCAAACAGTTTTTTTCAATGTCAGTCAACACATTTGTGGTGTGTTAGCAATTTCAGGCTTAACTTCTACTATTTA